GGGGGGGGGGGGGGGGGGGGGGGGGGGAGCTCGTGCGTACGGCTGTCAAATTTTCTTCAAATCGCTGTCGCCGAGGGCGGCGTTCGGTGCCACGGATCAAAGCAACGTGTATATAGAAAATCGCTAGCTCCCACGACCTGCGCTCCACTTAGCGTGTTCTCCGCTCACTGCACATTGCACCGCGTAAAGGGTATGAGGCACCAAGGTGTCCAAGCAGGTGGGGATGCCGTTGATGGACCTCGTGCTTGTAACTTGCACTCCAATATCAAACACACACTGGCTCGTATTTCAATTGAAGGAACCGTCGCATATTCACTCTTGTCACAGTAAGTCCAAGCTAATAAAATCCATGATATAGGTTCGAGTTCACATAACTCGTGTCGTTCAAAGAAGCCACGATTCAAACCGATGCTCTGATAATGACAGGGTATGTAAGGTACGTGATTGCAAGGATACCGATGGCAATAGTATGCGCGGGACACAGTGCAAGCAATGGAGCAGGTATATACGGAATATAGTGTGTATCTTATAAGATGAGCTCGGTAACACAGCACCTCCACGGGGTACACGAGACGCTTGCTCCGGGGATACTGAGTTGGAGCCGCAGGCCGGCCTCCGGGCCTCCCCCCCCCATTACCAACCCCCCACTCGACACTCCCCTCCGGCCAACGGTTTCATCTCTCTCCCTTCTGTGTGAATCTCTACCGCTCTCTTGCTTTTGCGCTCTCTTCCCTTCCCCCCTACCCTGCGCCGGTGCTCCTTCTCTCTTGCTCTTCCCTTCTCTAGATACTTTGCTCCATGGATCTCTCGTTCCCTCACGTTGATTCTGTTACGACGTCGTTCCTCTGCATTGCTGCTTTTATACATACTAGCCTATCCACCGTCTACGTAGAGATATAGAGAGTTAAAGTGTATTAGGCAGAGACGCGACTACCTTATGGGCTATGGGCTATGGGCTATAGGCGCTCTGCCTTTCTATAACATCCACCGCCGCATTACACGAGATATACACTTGTGCCGCGGTGGATGCTGGCGTATCTTACAATCGGTTTCATCACGAGCGCGCTAGTCAAGGATTCTCACCTTAAGGCTTGCTTGGGGGCTGATGCTGATGCGAAGGCTACCGTTTCCTTTACCGCCCATCGCTTGCTGCCCTGTCTGAAGGTTTTGGAAGCGACCTCACGTCGCTGATGGCTGAGTCTCGATGGATGGGTTTGTTTATGGGGGAATTTGTCCATGGATCGTTTCAGGGAGTTTGGGTTGGAATCTGTGGGAGGGGGGGGGGGGGGGAAGGAAAAAAA